CTTGATTATAACTGCATCCAATTAACTGCATACATTTTTCCTCGGTACATCGATCGATCGTGCCGCTATCGTTGCGCCAGTATTGCATCAAGTTACAACATAACAAAAAAATCTACATACAAGCTCTTACGCGTTCTAAAACGCTTCGAGTGGTGTTACGTAATAGCAAAAATAGCAAACAACCTGCGAAAGCGAAAAACCGCGAAGATCGTGACAATTAGAGGTAGACTAATTCGCGATTGGTATGAGCGCAACGAGCGTGTTGCCGTCCTTTCCTCGGTTACACCTCATTCAATTGACAACTAAACGGATTACGGTGCGACGCTTGGCAAAGAACGGACTCTAGCGGTCGATGGATCGGTGGGTGGGTGTCGGCGAACCTGTAAATGCGACAGCACAAATACCTCGTAGTAGAACGCGGGACGGCGACTCGGACCGGCGGCGTGGCGAGTGGCGGCGGTGAATGAAACTCGCTTCCTCTCCCTCGCCCTCATCTTCGACGGTGCCCCTCTTCGAGTTTCACGTCGCCCCCGGTGTTCCCCACTACATCGTTCTCCCGATGCATCCTTGTTCCTCCCGCTCGAGCCGGTTCGCTGCGTTTACACGCATTACGCACGCGATATATACTCGCGTGCCGCCGACGCCGGCAATGCGTGGTGTATATACATACGAGATGCACGTACAGTTGTAGACGAGCAACGCCCCGTGTTTTGATGCGATAGTCGATCACCGTGCAAAAAGGATTTTGCGCTGTCCGGAACTCGATTATTTTAAACCTCCATCAGCTTCCGACCGGATTATCTTGCTTATCGTTTCACGATTTAGCTAGCTATTTCTCGGCAAAAGCGATTCTCGATTTGATATTGATTTGTCATACGAATAGACGAATAATGAAAAACCAATTACAATTTGCAGGTTCGCATTATTACATATAGCCAGATTATCTTTGTCAATATTTATACATATCGTTGATATCTCAAGAAAGAGATGTTTCAAAGATCAGGAGACACGGTAGTATTGGAAGATAGTGCGTTTGGAGATCATAAATAATTATACAGCTCGTCCGTGTACGCTTCTTTCGCTAATTTAAAAATAAAGTCTTTGGTATTTAAAATTATACTAGACATTTTTTTAAGCATATGTATGCGTGAAATTAGTGGTGGCTCGTCACGATAACAAACGTGTCGTTCCATAACGCATTTTCGAGTCGTGTTTGTCTTCGCTTACTACAAATAAAACTAAGAATAAGACGGCGTAGGTGGTGGACCTACGCACATTGCGTGAGTATTTTCTACACGACTACACCTACACGAAATGTGTTGTATTTTGTTACATCAGCAAAATCTTGCATTGTAATATGATATTTTTTAAATGTTTGCATATTGCTGCAATCTTAGAATTCGTTCCAATTCTATAAGAACCAATTCTATAAAGTGACGGTCCCAATTATGGGCTATTTAAGGTTAGAGTGATTTTTACAAAAATTTATTATCTATAATATTATAAATGTGTATTCACACATCCGTTGACGAAAATCGTAGATAATACATATTTATGTAATAATTAATTTTATCAACTAATTTGTAGATATATATTTATATATTGCAAAAGGCTTGTACAAGCAATAATGAGAAATGACTCGTAATTGAGAGCGTTACTTTATCCCTATAATTTTGCTATAATATTGTACCCGAAATTGACGAGATTACAACGTTGCGGCAATCTTACTGAAAGATTGTACGAGATAATATCTACTGAATCGTTCGCTAAATGATTATACACAGATGATTACAATTCTCGGAAATGAAAGACCCGTTAGCCTATATGAAGTTGATTATTAGCAAAAATAGAAGTGATTTGTTTGTGTTTAACTAGTGAGATCGAATTTACATAGGATATAAATATTCCCGTGCGTCTGTAACTTTTCCGTGCTGTAGAAAATATAAATGCAAATCTGCACAGATGCAAATGCTAATTTCTTCTCGCGTAGTAAGCGCAAAATGCGTGTGAAGCAATGTTATATAGAAAACGATTGGATCGAAAACAAATTCAATGAATCGTAAATCGAAAATGTTTGCGAGTAGTCATTTGCAGCAGGTCGCGATCGTAGAGGTACAATCGAATCTCTCGATCCCGCGTGCCATAGCGTACACATCTCGTTACGGGTGACAGCGTGAGTGACCCTCTTTATATACGCAATAAATCAATTACCGTTTGTTATTAAGAGAAATCTACGTTTAATCAAATTATGTTACTTAACCCGAGAGTCACGGCAAGCAAGACAATGTTCATGCGATCAGACGCTCCAAATTTTTTGTTTTGCAGCCACTTAACCGTCCGTGGGATCGCGCGGCTAGTCTCACTCCCGTCGACACGGCGAATTACGATTCCCTACAGTGTATTTCTAATATTACGTTTCTTCGGACTGAAAAATCCATTATTTACCTACGCGATTATGATTTCGGGATATTATAATTAACCACAATATCAGATATGTAAAACGGTTATAGAACAGATAAATTACAAATGATTAATTTTAATTCAAAGAAGTTACTGCGACGGGAACGAAATATTTTAAATTTATCTTGTTTCACACATCTTTTATATAATGCATTAAAAAAATTGTAGTGATATTTAATTATAATAATTTTTTAAAAAGTAGCGTCATTATCCAACAGAATAGTACGTATATTTCTGCTTTCTCTCTTTTACTTTGTTAGTATACCTTCTTATAACTATATGTACAGCTTCCTGCATAATGAAAAGCAGCGTTATTTGACATATTGGTTGTCGGCATCGTAAACAACGCGAATATTGCATCTAGGCACCACAATTGTGGTTGGTCGTGCGGTTCTTAGAGCTTAGGGTTTACTTTTCTGTGAAGAGTTTAGTAACGGGGATCATGCTGTTTTCTCGTCGAGACAAGGCAAAGTATATGAGGCAAGGTCTCGACATTTGCTGAGTCTACTTTGTGCCCGACAGTTTTATACGTCGACGATACGGGTGTTGCTATGGCGAGCGCGGTTGCATCGTCGATTCGAGCACCCCAGCTTATTCGATAATTTGTAAATCACACAGACATTATCGCACACGCTACACCACCGCGTCGCTATAAATATGTTGTGAAGATATTGTCACGAAGTGTCATGACCCCGCTACACGGGATAAGAATTATAAAAATGTATAGAGTGTTGCGGTTCATAAAAATGCGCATAAAACTGAGTGCATGTGATACTCGCGACAGTCATCCGAAATTAGCATACATAAACTATTTATGCACAATTGATGTTCCAACGGTATATAAATAATCTATTGTGTGCAATTTATCGTCAAAAATTGTAGCAAAACATAGCAAGAGAATATTCATAGCAACTTTGAATAAACAGGCTTGATTTAATTTCGCGAAACCCTCGGGCTAAATGTTCGTTATTCAACAAGCGCTTTTCTCGCGAAATATCGAAGAAAAATCCGTCGATTGAAAATACGCACAATTTATCGAACGTATTTATTCAGTCGTCAGCTAAATTCAATTTTTGTTGGAGATACCATCTGGTCGTTTTTCTTCGCGTATCGTTACCACAATCTTGCACAAAGAAACGGAGTAATTTAAAATGAGCTCTTCTACCGAGTTCTTGTTTAAATTTCGAAACAGGCACTAAATTCATTCACTAAATTCAATGCAGTTTTATAATTTATAATAAATAATTGCACAGGAAAAACGAATATTTTCTTGCTTGACTATTTGTGAGTTAAGGTGTTATCATGCAAAAATATTATTGTGTAAGAACGTCGTGCGTATTCGTATGAATTAATAAATAAATTTCAAGTCGATAAGACGGAGCTATGTCGAATATCCTCAAAGTAGCAACGCGCAACAACGTTATTTTTCAGATACGTTTGAAACTTACGTCGTCATCCAGTCATATAATTAGCTGCAATTCACATAACGAGGTACATTTTTTTATATCACGTTATTACGCGCGCGGACTGTTCGTTGAATGGACGCACACAATATTCATTTACGATAATTTATCTATACGAAGCATTTTTTTCAACATAATGACCATAATAAACGTGACACACGCTTGGCGCCAGTGATCGCTATACATTATAAATAATGACTAAGTATAACTACTACATTTATTGATGACTACGTAAGCATTTTGCGAAAGCTATCATCATAATTTCCAGTCATCATCTCAAGGTCTATATACATTTTTCGTGAAGTGCGCTCGCATTATCCTTTAACAAGTACGAAAATTAATACTTCAAGATGTTTCTTTGATTAAATTCAAATAAAAACCTACGCATGAGCTAATGTAACTCCTTAAAAAATGACATCAAGCGACTCGTTTAATGCCATAAAAATTAATGTAATACTACGATTACATCAACCGCATTTACAAAGTATAACTTTGTGCGTTCTTTTTCATTCCAGGACGATAGACTGTCTAGATATCGCCGAGAAGGCAGGATCATCAGCATGGTGAGGAGTGTGCACTGATCAGTGTCAAGATTCCCTATCAACTCGCGAATCTCGAATCGGTACGCGTTCGGCACACTTAATGGAGCCGTCTGGTGTGATGACCTGCTGGTGGTGCCAATCTTTCAGCATAGTTGGTTGATATATCGCATACGTGCGTGTGCGGTCTCTTCGTCTCGTGGTACGCCCACGAAGTCTCTCGCGCGGTTACGAAGGGGTCAAACGAAGCCGACAAACGTGTTACGGACAACGTTAAGAGAGAGAAAAAAAAAGAAATCTCCGACGTCTTCGAGCGATCGTCGTCGAAGTTGTGGCCGCATTGACTCTCGAGCCCTCCGTTCGCTCGTACGTCCGCAAGACAAACAGGCAGAAACGCCGAAGAGGCTGCTGATTGGCCGCATCGACGGCGAAGAGATGCGAGCGAAACGTGACGCTTTACCCCTTTTACTCTGAATTCGCGGAGAACGTAGAATCATTTTTCTCCGTCGGGAAAACAAGTTTCGTTCTTCCGACGAAGATGAAGTCTTCGGCCACGTGTTATACGCGCAGACTTCGTGGCGCGACGTTCGACGAAGACGAGCCAAGCGTCGTTGCATCCTCTTTTTCGGAGGCTAATTCTACCACCTGCCACTGCCACTGTCCGTCATCGAGTTGTGGCGTATTCGAGAAAGACGATGGCATATCGTTCCTGCCGTCACCGGCGTCGACGACAGCGTGCGATCTTTGCGAGCGTCTTCGCGGGCAAACGGGCTACGAGTCGATGAACGCGATGTGGACAGGGGATAGCCACATGGCTGATCGATCGAGACGAAAACGCGACAAAAATGATTTATTGACAAATAATTCGAAAACGACTATTGAAAAGCGCGACAGAACTTTGAGGTGCGATAGAACTCCGCTCCGCGAATCGTCCGCGAAATGTGCTTCGAGCGTAGTGCGATGGATTTTCTCGGTTAGATTCTACAGAGATTTCAAATCGACCGAATGGCGGAGGCTCCTCTGGATTGTTCTCCTGATACTCACGGTACCCGACCTCGCAGCAGCGCACGATACCGGTCCTGACAACGGAGGTGAATATATCCTTTTTTTCCTATATTCGCTTAAGTGGCACTTTAAGGCCAGTATTTGTAGTTCCGTTCTTATTACAACATCGTCTTAAATGATATCTTAAGTTGTTAATACGACTCTCTGATTGGTTCGTAACTTCTTAAGATTGTATTTAAGGCCAATCTTAAGTGTAAGGGCGGAATCCATAGACGTTGCTCAAGATTCGACATGGTCTTCAATCAGAGAGCCAATATTACCATCTCCAATCAGACAGCCGTATTAGCATCTTAAGACATTGCTTGAGATGGTCTTGAAATTAAAAACGGACTACGGATACCGGCCTAAAAATCAACTATGAATATCGGTTTGTTTGTGATTGACTTATAACATCTCAAGACTGTACTCGAGACCGTTTTAAATATAAAAATTGACTACGAATACCAGTCTAAATCGATCCATATTCTAAAAAGATCATTATTACGCTTATTGATATCTAAATTTTTTCTTTAAATAATTTAATATTTTAAATTGTCACATGTGGCAAAAAATAGGTTTCGTTTGTAAAATACTACCAACATACATATATCGATTACACAAATTGATCCATGCAAAAAAGAAACTCAAATGCGCATTTAAAATTTAAAGTGTGGATCAACAGCTGGCCATCACGCTATTGACTAAACTTCCATATTATGTTTACGTAAAGCTTCACAAATCTTCAAACAACGAAGCATCGCGAAGCGTGAACCGTATTGTTAGATCATGTATAATGCAGCACAAAGCAGCAGGTCAGACGAAACTTCTTCGCTTAAAATTTCACGATTATGATATGCGCATATTTATTCCAAATAGAATCTGGATTTCGTTATAACTTATCAATGACTGACTGGAGCAAAATTTCATTGTAGTTGAACGAAAAAAGAAAACTGCTCCAGTTTACTTATATCAAACTTCAGTTTACGTATATGTACTTTTACAATTACGCATCTGCACTACTTGAACGTTGAAGAGGCATAGAGATTTCATTCACCGATATTTAAGCCAATATATGTCACGATTCGTGTACAAAAAGAAACCGGGTTCCATAACCGGCTTGCGATAACGCAGACTTTTCACGTCACATTTGTAACAGAATGACTTTTTTTTTTATGTTTGTGACAAGTGACATTTGTAACAAGTGACAAATTAACGATGCAGATATGTAGTATGTAATGTAACACGAAAATGGAATTAACAATGTGTGTCTTACTTAGTATGTTTACAAATAACATGTAAAACTATATATTCAATGGTGCAACAGTTTCTCTGTTAACTTTACATTATAAATCGCTAATCAGCTACTAATCAAACATAAAAGAGAGAGAGAGAGAGAGTCAGAAATTTTTATATTTATTCATTTGCATTTAAATGTGAACAAGTGACCTTTTGAAGGAAATGATAATTCTTCGGCGATAACTAAAATAATTCAAGACTATAGATGTGTTGTTTCTGTATGTATAACGAGATTTTAATACGGCTCTACCGCAATAACTGACAAGTCTATTATCGAACAAATTGTCCTTTAGGCCATGCTAGCAATTCGTAAAATCACACACAATGTTTCGATTCATTTTCACTGTGCATTCGTTCATTTATTCGAGAGAATTTTCAACAATATTTATTGATTGCCGATATTACGTTACACGAAACACGATCGTGAAACTTCTCTCATTAAAATCTGTCGTTTAAGTGACAATTAATCAATGATTGATGTACGACATCTCTTTAAGCATTCTATACATTAAAATAAGAAGAACATCGTTAAGCAGAGAGAACATCGTTAATTGCTAGCGAAGATGATTCATGTAGGATTAACGTTACGCTCGTTAGAGAAGAATAATGCCAAAGGCATTGAGGAGAAAGAATGAATCGCGGATGAGCATGTTTTAGAGTTGCATCCGAGAGGTTATCGCGACTGGTTTTATATTCCGTTCTCCTCAGATTCTACCGTTCATTCCTAGAAGTCTGAGTTCTCCTACGCTTCGTAAGCTTGCTTTGCGATATATAAAGCGACGGCGAGTCTCGACGATGTGAACGCGTCTAAATTGGTGTCTACAATAGAGCTTTAAGCCGTAAAAAATTGACCAACTATAGTCGAATGTGAGGAGAATAATCGACTATGATTGGTCAATTTCTTACGGCTTAAGGCTTACTGTTTTATTGTAGATACCACGTAAGGAGTACATCCTTATAATTGCAATTCAGTCCGTATGTAATTTGCCCCGAGAGGTTGGGAAGATTGCTGATTCTTTAATTACTATCCTTTGCCGGTCTGCGGAATGATGTATCGATTAATTATATCTCGTTTATACGATCGATGTAAGTTAAGGTAGAATTTCTGATAATATTAAGCGTGTCTACATGGGAAGGACGATTTTGCTGAAATATCTAAAGAATTTAGCTAAATACATATCTGAACATAATTTTGTCGGATAAAAATAATTATGTAAGAAACTCAAGCATAATGAGCAATGCTGTATAAAGTTTCGATCTTCTAGTTATTAGCCTGAACGTCCTTCATAATTATTTTGATAATTTAATAAAATTATTTTCAGATCTGTATTTAAATTTTTAAATACTGTTCTTTCCGCGTGTTAACGTTAAATAACAGCTGAAATAACAGCAAATTCCTTGCATGTTTTCTCTCTATCGAAAGAAATATGAAATCAAAACAATAGATTTAGTCTAAATGATTTGTTAAATAATTAAGGCGAAAAAATGACAAAGATGCAGACACACCATTACATTATATGTTTGTAGAATCCGATTATGTTCCGTCCCCAGAGATTGTACAGAGTATCTATAGTGTATTTCAAAAGTCAGGAAATGATTCACATGTTCTGGAATGTCTTTCAAAACGATTTCAAGATGTCAATCATAATCAGCTACGAGCTGAACATAGGCAACAATCTACTTTTCGTCAGTTTTGGAACACGATGACGCATGGGTTACCATTGGCAAATAAAATTGAATGTACAATGATGATCGATTAATCATTTCGTCAGACTTGTCAATATAGGCATTAGAGGCACGTACCTCGGGCGATAAGATTTTAGGGATCACAAATATCTAACATACTTTGTTGATTTCAATAGAGGATATATCAATAAAGATGAAAGTAAACTTGCTCTATTATATATTTAAAGAAAAAGAAAATATAATAAAGGATAATATAAAATAAAAATTATGATTTATAAATTTTAGCAATTAATTTTCCAAATAAAGTTTTTTTTTAAATAATAAGACGAATTTTTTTATCATTAGTGGATATTTTCGAAAACATAATGTTGAAACACAGATAACTGATCATTTTATATATATAATAATAAACACGAAAGTATCGAAATATGATGCTACCAGTACTTTTTTAATTTAAAAAATGAGATTATACATTTATTAAGCTTGTATAACGAAGAATATTTTCCAACTTGTACCAATATTACGAAGCATTCTTAAAGTTGGATCCATTTTCTCGAAGCATGCATATTTCGAGGATAATGAACTCATTTTACGCTGCATTGTTGCAATTCTCATGTGGCATGATGATGTGAGAGAAAAATATTTTTTTATTGCGCTGTTTTCGAAGACTGAATTTCCACATTGCTATCGTTATGTGCTCATTGCCATAACCTGATACTATTTTCTTTCTACTACAGTCAAAGTTATTCTAAGAATAACGATAAAACAGTTGAAATGGATTTAAAAAGTTTCATGTAAATACGCCCGCGCTGGTAAATTATTTCGTGTCCGAATATAGATAGAGAATTCGTCTATCCATCCTGTTTTTTCTTGAAAAAGATCCTTGCTGATCCAAAGAAATATTTCAAGTCAAAAATCGATCTAATTCGATGATATGTTCCCCGAGAGATAGTAGGTGTTATTGTTGGAAAAAAGAAGAGTGAAAAGCAGACGAGAGAAAGAAAGAACGGACGAGAAAGAGAGAATAGAGGCAACGAAAGAATACGAAGAGAAAATGGTTCGAGAAGAAAGAAAGAGAGAGGACAGACCGCATACTCCGCCATAAAAAGGCAGGTCACTTTCGTCGTGAGAACAACAGATCATTCCTGCGACGCGATGCGATGCAAAAATGGCTCGACCCTCGTTCGTCCCAGCTTGCACGGCGTCATCTCCCTTTTCTGCTCTCCCCTCCCTCCCTCCTCTCTCTCTTTCACCATCGAATCAAGTCGAAAACACTTTCGTGAATTTTCCGCACCGTCTACTCGGTATGGTAGTCGTCTCTAACCTCTTGCATATATCGAGTTGCCAGGAAGGTAATTCGAGCGGCAAGTTACCGTTATATTTACCTCTTCTACTAGTTTTGGTTGAAATAAGGTAAATAAGAAAAGCGTGTGCCAGTGATGGCATATTTAAACATTGATCGCTAACGTAGATTAAGGTAAACAAGCAACGTAATTATATTAATTATACAAATATATGTCATTACTTGTACGTTATAACGGAAGGCGAGCGTGTTTTTTTCCCAAGCATCTCCTTTATTTAATCTAACATATGATGAAACTATATTCTGTATAATTGGTTTTTTTAAATTTTCCGTTCGGTTTTTCTTTGTTCGATTTACATTCTGCGTAATCGAGAAGAACATCCGGAAAATCCTATGCGCAACTGGTGGATTGTATACAATTACTATAGTAATTTGCACATTTTTATTCCGGAATCGGACTGAATTAGAACGTCATTGCCCGTATTCATAGTCGGGTCTTATATTTAAGGCTTCCTTAAATTTATCTTCAGATACTCTACGAATTATTTCATTGGCTACTGAGCATCTAAAGATAAATTTAAGGAAGCCTTAAGTACAAGGTCTGACTATGAATACGGGCATTAAATAATCAAATTTTGCAGTACAATGATATACAATTCAGCAACACGGAAAAAAAATGTTTCTGGTTTACAGCTAATTCTGATTAGCTGAAATTTCATTAGCTACTATAGCTATGAATTCGCTATATAACTATAAAAATAA